AACGTTGCTAGAGAACAGGAACAAGAGAGATAGCGAAACACGTTCGTTCGATATATGCTAAGCAGTCGGCCTCCTGTATCGTGTACATGTACCACCATACGACTCTGGTTTCGCACGTGGGTGAGAGACGCATGTGCGTACGCGTGAGTATGCGTGTATCTTTATATACGTACGTAGTATATATGCTATGCATCCATGGGTATATATACGGGGTGTCGGATAGGTTGCTTTTACTTTGCGACTTCGATCGATCTGAGAATGATAAAAAGTGGGGAGAAAAAGTTTGAGCAACTCTCGTTACATTGATTTATTAGTCTTCTTTTTTCTCTCCTATTGTTTTTATTTTTTTACTTAGAAGATAAATGTATTTATAAGTATTGGATGTGGAAGTGTATACAATAGTGATGGAAGATTGTTTGGCGAAGTAACAAATTTTCACGTCCGATTTGATATTTTAAGTGAATGATTACATATTGAAACTTTTTTTTACATATAACGTATTTATTATCTATCTATTTGACAGACATACTGTCAGGTATTTATTGGTAATATTTAGCTCGACGTTTAATGTTTACAGGTAATACACGAATTTGTGGATATTTTTTTTTTTTACAAATTCTTTTGTTCTTAGAACAAAAACATTTATGTTTAGAAGATATGTGCTTAGAATATCCGCCACCCCATATACGCCCACATCGTTTAGCCGGATGATGGCGAAAGTGAAAAATATCTCGTGCAGCCGTTATAGCACTAGTAGTATGTTCGCGTGCATATGCAGAGGCTCATTCGCGTTATTAGATCTCTCTTTCTCTCTCTCTCTCTCTCTCTCTCTCTCTCTCTCCCTCTCCCCCTCTTTCTTTTTCTTTTTCTTACTGAAGTCGTTGCCTCGAGAGATATCGAAGCATAGTATATGCCAGCTGCCATTGATTCGGTCGTTTACCCCATCTCGAACCAATAATTCCTTCATTTTTGCAAAAATAATGATGCTGATATGATAGAAATTTAATCTTCTAACATTATTACTAATATTACTATTTATTACCAAGAGTTGTAACTTGTGATTAGAAGAAACAGTATAGACTTTTTCATAAATTATCAATAACGAAGTTTGTGTCCATATACTCATCGAAAAAATATACCTATCCGTTAAATTATAATTATAATCAATAAGGATCTGTTTACTTATTTTGTAAAAAAAAAAAAAAGTATCATGGCAATGGTAGAGTAAATAGCGAACAGCAAAACGAGCAAACACTTAAAAGTTTCACTATAATGGAGATGAAATTCATCAAAGGTACTAGTAAATTCAACATTAAAGTAAGTGGACTAGTAGTTCTGCATCTGCAATGAATTTCTACTTTGCACGATGTCAAGTGATACCTGACATGATTCTACAAGTGTTTCAACCTCGAAATATGAATTTGAAGTTATGAAATATTTTGTTCTAAAAAGTAAACATAAGAGATTGATCAAAATTAATAAGGAGAAAAAAAAAGTTACATATGTTCGTAGTAAAGTTAAAAGTAACTTCGTTAACTTATTATTTTATGTAGATAATCTATTGATATTATTTGAGGAAACATATTGTAGCTGGTAGGACGTCTGTATCCCGTGGAGGGATCGTCGGGAACTTTAAAATCCTATATTTCCTGTCTCTTGGACCTGTGGATCACCCTTTTTTCTTTTTCTTTTCTCCTTTTCTATCCTCGTTGCCGTGCCCTTTTGTAAGGCTCACCACGGGAGGATCTCGTTATAAGCACACACCATGCCTCTCGTATTCCGTAGGTGTTAGGTTTCTGACCCAAAGCTCACAGCAAGAGAATAAAAAAGTACGGAAATGGAAGAGAGAGGGAAAGAGAAAACTTTGTCTTCCCGCTGTGTAGTAGACGCTGATTCACGATGGCCTTCTTTTCGGAACCTGGTTCCCTCTTCTTCCTTTATTATTAAAGAACTCACCTTATAGAAAGACCATACTACTCCTCGTCAACTTAGCTAAATGTGTAGTATTTTGACAGCGGGGGACGCCGATATTTTTTTGCAAAATTTAGCCGGGTGTTTCATAAAAAGCGCTCACCTTCCTTTAGCGTTGTGGTTCATTCGCTAAGATAGATTTCTTTTCTGTTCTCATGATCCTCGATGCTCGATCGAGAACTTAGAAATGTAAGTAGTAATTCATCGTCATTGTAACAACCAAAATTTTCTAACTATTTTTTGTCTGTTTAATAGGAACATTAACAATAACAGAAGGATGAAATGTTTTCAAATTTTTTATTGACATGAAGATTTGAAGCGTTCTATTGGTTTTACTCTTAGTTTAAAGGAAGATAACAATACATATATGTATGTATATATGTATGCCTTGCTCTCTACTGGTTTCCATGTTTCTTTACCTTTGATTTGAGGAGTGAGATCATTGAAGTAAAGGGAGTTAGATAGAAGGCACACATACTGTCCTCTTGCAGCAGCTTCTTCTTTTCGTTATGGTCCTTCCAAGTGGTAGCGTTCGTCGTACGTGTTTTGCGAGAAAAGAACCGAAGTGGTGCAGAACCCCTCGTGACAATTGTGTCTGGCAGTGCTTGTCGAGGGTCGACGCCTTCCCTGAAAAGGCCTTTCTCTCTCTTTCTCTCTCTTTCTCTCTCTTTCTCTTTACTACTCCCATCTTGGAGGCTCACGCTTGCACTCTGGCCTGGCTGCGGGCGCAGCAGACATCAAAGGATGTTCGGTGGTTACCACCCTTCTACCTATCCACCCTCATGCAAACTTCTTGCATAATTGTTCGGAAAAAGAAGAAAAAGAAGAAGTGAAAGAAGAAAGAGAAGTAGTAGTAGTAGATGGAAAAGGAGAGAAGAAAGCAAAAGAGAGATCACACAGAGTAGAAACGTAACGAGGTCAGAATCGAGCTGTTCTCGGTAGCTAGTAATAACGAGAGGAATTTCTTTGCTAGATTAAAAGAAGATTACTTTTTTATCTCATCGCCTTTTTAGACCGACATAAGAATACGAAAGGAAAGGTAGTTCTTTGATTTTCCTATTTCTTTGATGACAGAAAGTAAGAGAGAGAGAGAGAGAGAGAGAGAGAGGATTGACTTTTTTTAGCTTTTATCTCAACAACAGTAATAAATAATGATGAATCTTAGAGGAAAGAAAAATAAACGAAAAGGAAAAGAATGATATTAATCTTATTGACCTCCAGTATTCACTGGAGGTGGGTGAAGGTGGGGGCCAAAATCGGAAAATCTCAAACTCCCACCGTTTTAATTGTTATCGGCAACTGTTTTTCATCTTAGCAATCGTCAACGGTTTTCCAATTGTTATAAGAAAGAGAATAACACAAAGGACAGAAAATCGCTTACAAAGAAAAGGACATTGTAACCTAATAGGACGACTTATCGTCTACAAACGTTGAGAGTTTCGATTTTTTAACGACGCTAGTTTCAACGCAGACTATTTCTCTCTTTCTCGAAGAATAATTATTTTCCAAGATCTACGGGGGTCTATCCTTCGTCTTTTTTACGACATACCCTACAGCGTTGGGTCTGTTGTGTTCTTTTCCTTCAGTTCGTGAAGGAGGCAAAGATCTAGAAAGTGCCTCTGGCGGAACTTGTCGGAGGGCAACGGTGTCGGGGTCGTGGGTATAGGATATCTGATGCAGAAAACCGGTAAACGTTTTTTTCTGGACGGTAGAGGCATTGGCGGTGGGACGTAGGAGGAAATGAAGGTAGATAGTTGAGAAGAACACCGAAAGCAAAGACACGACCAAGGGGCATGGCACATTGTCTTCGGGTGGCTTAAAAATCCAACTCGTGGCTCGTTAACCGTCCTCCTATCAGATACCACCGAGACCCTTCTCTAGAAAAAGAGAGAGAGAGAGAGAAAGGGAGAAAGAAAGAGAAAGAATACACTCCATGCATCCGTATTCTTCTTCTCCAGCTTCCTTATCCACTGTCTTCGTCGACTGGTCCACGTGACCTTGTGTCCTACCGACACACGATCCCTTGTATTTTTAGTATGCCTAGGTAGCTCGATGTTCTTTTCAATATGAATTGAGCAATGCGGTCATAGGGCCATTTGACTGTCTCTCTTTCCAATATTTTTCAAGAAAATGACATTACTACTATCAATTAAATAGATATTAAATAAATATCTCGATTGTATTGGAGAAGTCGATTACATTCGAGCGGAACGACTGCGGATCGATACGCTTAACATTTCTAATCTGCTGATCCACTTATCTGACCTTTTCTTCCTTTTGCTTTTATTCTTTCTCTTTAATCTATTACATCCTATCGGTAGAGAAGCTCTTTAATCAGACATTCCTAAATTGCATTATATTTTTATCGCGATTCGTGATTTTGTTAATTATAAATTTCATTTGTTTATACTTTTATAACTGGACGCGTATAGGTGTAACGTGAAGAACTTTGTAGTTGAAGGAATGAAATAAATGATATCGAATGCACTTACAATTAAATGTTTATACGAATTTGTCCACGTGCATGTCGCTTATCAAAATTATCACCGTACAGTAGCCCACTTTCGTAGATTTGTTGGACAAGCTCACGCTAATATTTGCGGCAACCGCTGGACAAATACGAGGTGATGTGAATCATCTACGCGAAACATTCGTATCGTTTTCTTATCCACGAGTATTTTTCCCCCTCTTGGTTTCAATCTCTGCTGTCCCTTTTTTGATAAATAAACTGCTTTCTTTTCTCTATAGTATGACGTATAGTACGGCACTATATCTCGTGGGTAGAAAATACCTATCATGCCACGACGGAGCGCACACACACCTACACACACCTACACACACCTACACATACGTACACGCATACAAGATTTTCCGATAAGTTTAGATTTGCCGTGTCCTCTATTGTTCAAAAGTCCTAATAAATTTTGATTTACGCTATCTTGATTGTTAATGAAAAAAATAAACAGATAATAAAACTTAAAGAAAAAACAAATATACATAATACAATAAATTTTCTCTTTCTTTTCTAGGTCTCCAAGCGGAATTGTTTTACGTGAGAGAAGGTGTGATCAACGATTATGCCATTAAATTCGTTGTACCGGTTCCAGCGCAAGTTCACAAATTGCATTTCACATGGCAAAATCTTGCTGGCAGGCCGGTAAGTGAGAATTTATTTATTTCAAGATTTATATGATAAGGAATAATGTTTTCCTTTGATAAAGAAAATAAGAAGTTAAAAGAAACGATAACTCATTCGTTATCTGAAAAACGTCGACGACTTAGCGATATACGATGCAACCAGCTGACCGTTCAAATCCTCCTTCGTCAAGGTTGAATGGTCACGTTGAAGCTACTATCATATTTTTTTGTTCTTTCTTGTTCTTTTTCTTCTTACTCTTTTCTTCTTACTTTTTCTTCTCCTCTATTTCTCTTTTTTACCTTCTTAGAACATACTTATCAGGATTATCGAAGCATATCCCATTCCTATCCCACACCTCATCGAATTCTCGAACCAATACAATGGCGTAAGACTTGTATATAAGACTCTTTTAGAACGGAGAACTCTTGTTAAAATATCGCGAATAAAGGACAAGGAACGTGAGTACGTGAGTAAATCTATCATAATCGTTTTATGAAGTAAAAAAGTGTCTTATTTGACTTAAAAAATGAATATCCAATGTGGATAAAGTTTTGTTGTTTTTTCAATGTGTGTGTGTGTGTTTTAAGTACTTAGATTTTCTTTCTTTCCTCTCGTGTTGGTTTTCTTCGCGGTGGTCGAAGGAATGGTAGGTAGGGTAGATACCTGGACAAAGTGCGGAACGTAGTGTCGGATTGACTCGTCGACGAGGTAGAAAAAAAAAAAAAGAAAAGATCTCTCGGGGTAGGACAAAGTGGTTCAGCCACTTCTTCGAGCTCTTCTGTGCGAGCTTCAGAGAGAAAAAGGAAAAGAAGAGAGACAGAGAGAGAGAGAGAGAGAGAGAGAGAGAGAGTTATCCGAGAGAGGAAGACTGACGAGCGGTTCCAAGACATCCGTCACCTCCGTGACAAAAGCGGGTGTCCTGAATGGTAGTTAAACTCGCAGGTGGCTGTCGATCAAACTCTCCTCTTTCCACTCTTCCTCCCTTCCCCCCTTCCTCCCTTCGTCCATTCGTTCCTTCGTCCCTTCTTCTGTTTCTACTCACATTGTTTGTAAATCAGTTTGTGGAGAAGATAGGAAGAAGGGGAATGACAAGCATTTAAGGAAATTCTTCAATATGAGAAAAAGTTTGTATACGGTGATTATTCATAAATTAATTCGCGATAGTAAAACAAAAAATAAAATATTGATATTATTTTTTTCATTTTCACTTTTCACCGACTAAAGCTAATTTTGAAAGAATTTCTTTTTTCAAGTTAGATTTCCGAGTTAGATATTATTGTAGTTCTTGAGAAAGAGAAGAAGTGACCCCGAATACCGGATCGTTTGTAAACACATATCATTTGAGTCTCTCTTCTTGCGGACAACTTATTTGAAAGAAAGCTACTGCTTACACAGCGTCAAGTATTCGCGTTAGCACATTTACGGTTTTTTAATTCTTTTTGCGTTATACGTCTTACAGTTCTGTATGCGGTCAAATTTTTAGCATCAAGTTGATAAATCAAAATAATTACAAATTTATGAAAGTAGAAACAATAATATCGTTGATAGGATCATTAATTATCGTTCAATAAAATATTGAAACTCGTTATTTCATTTCAAGATTAATAAGATCAAATTAAAATTATCAACTATGAACATTTTAACTTATTAGTTAAGAAGCTTATGTTAATAGTTAGCCCAGATGGAAGAAAATCTATGTAGCGAGCTATCGTCACAGTTTGGAAGGCGTTGAAATCGAACGCCATTAGAAGCTATTCGCAGGAACATTCGTAGCCATTTCACGAGGAAGTTATTCGTGGTCGTAAGAGACCGCAAAACGAACGGTGGTAGCGACAAGCAGCGTAGTTGACGAGCCTCTTTTATACTTTTCTCTTTTTCTCTCTCGTTTTCCTACATCTAACCAAGAACCGATCATCATCTCGAGCTGGTAATCAGCCGTTGAGGCTTTGCTTTCCTACGCTCTAGTCTCTTCTTCTGCATCTTACAATATTTTTTTCCCCTTTCTTTCCCTCTTTCTTATTCTATTTCTTTCCATTCGTTCTCTAAACTCACTTTGCCCCTCGCGGTGCACAAATTGTCTTCCGAGAATGGTACGCTCGAGATTACCAGAAGGTTCAACGTTCTCGCTCGTTTAGTCTCGCCGACATTGTTTCATTCGTTTTCCTCCACCCTTCCACGCGGAAATACCAACCATTACCCACCTCCTCCTATACACCTAGGTAGTATACAATATAGCTACCTATACCTACCTATATTTATCGAGGCCATCGATGTATTAACCAAAGCCACGACTTTGTTAATGGATTAGAAAATACTCGTCAAGAAGAAAAGTTCGATAGCACCATTCAACAATGTTTCATCTCATGTTTTCGTCAAATGTTTGTTGATATACATACATATATCCTTATCCTATATGGAAGTTATGTTATACGAAAGCTGCCGTTATATCAAAATCGTGTTTTCAAAGTATTCTACAACACTACCATGTTGTAAAAAGATTGAGGGTACTCAATTCTCTCAGGTTAATCTCATTGATCCATTAACATTTGATATATCACCCATCTCCTATCTCCCATCGTTTCAATTTCATTATCTTTTTTCCAGTTATTCTTAGACGGTTGTAATTTATTTGATCATTCAAATTATCTCAACTAACCCCAAATGCAATTGACTTTCAGCTTCCTTACACGTTGGACGTAGATATCAGCAATCCATCCGCTCTAAGCAGCTCTCTAAACATCTCTCAAACAGGCGAGATGCCGGTCGGTATTTTACAAACTTGGGCCCTAGCTTTGCACTGTGGTCCATACGATGCCGAAGTGAACCTTACTTTACGGATCAATGTTTCCGTGTCGAAGAAAAATACAACGAGTTTAGAATTTAGGCGGAAAAAGATCTGCTTAAAAGAGAAAAGCAGCTACACCGGACCCGAGGAGGTTTTAGTCGCTGCTTCTGGTTCTACTTCCAGTGGGCAGGTGTTTTACGCAGCCATCGGATGTGCCTGTGCCTTTATCGCTGCCATATGCGTTCTCGTGGTGGCCTATTACGTTCGAGATAAGAAGGCCAGAAGACATAGGGATCCTTTACAGTAAGATCCATTACCTCTTCATGCATACGTACGTTCGTCGTAAAAAAAAAAAAAAAGAAAAGAAAAATTCGTTTTTGTTTCCTTTCTCATGATAGTAGAAAACAAAGCATCGGTGATAACGTTAAATAATGATATATGTATATTGTTATATATTAACGATGAGAGATGAAAGATATGTAGATTTCTAGAGATAAAGAAATCTTATTATCCTTGTAGAGAGTCCAGAGGTCTCAGCTCTGCGTGTAGTGTCGAACGAGGTACAGGAGTTGGTCCAGCGCAAACCTTCCTATCTCCAGAAACTCCACCACCCTCGGCGTCTGGAGCATCAGCCTCCACTTATAGAAGATTAGACGACAGACCTAGTCGAGAGCTGCACGAGAGAATTCAAGAGATCACCGTACAAAGGTAAAGACAAGTAATTTGAATGAAAAATTCCAAACGAAACGAAAAAAAAAAAAAAAAAGAAGAAAAAGGACTGAAAGCACTCAGATAATTCTAAGAGGTTATCGACACTCCAATCGACTTTCGTGCCAGATCAGGGCTTAAAATACATTTACGTTAAGGCCTATTTTCAAATAACCTGTGTAGATTATAGATATATACTGTGAGTCACAAAGAGTTACGTTAAAATATATGTACGTTAAGACTTAGCAAATATTTATTATATATTAACTTCGACATTTTAACTAATTATCGAGTTAACTAACGAGTAATGAATCAAATGAGTCATTTAAAGACTCACAATCGGAATTGAAATGATGGTGTGTGTTGGTTTTCTATAAGTTAAGACGTACGGCAAGAGCCATTAATTTACATTTCGTATTAAGTCGTGTCCTTTGTACTTTGTAGATGCAGGGTGCGTCTTCTCAGCATAGAAATGGAGGGCACCTTTGGTCGCGTGTATAGGGGTAGTTATCACGAGGAGGGTGCTTCGTCTCCAAGGGACGTTCTAGTAAAAACAGCCGCCGAGCACGCTTCCCAGTCACAAGTGAGTCTTCTTCGATCTTAGTTTTTTCTCTCCCCCCCCCCCCTTAAAGTATGATGGAACCAATGAAGTTACATAATTGCTATATTTCCATCGTCGAACTATGCGAATCTTTTGCTAATACAAAGATTTAAAAGGAAAATCGATACGCGTGTGTTAGTATATTTCTTTTAAATTGAAGTATTACTAAAAATGTAATATTAATTAAATCACTCTTATCGATTACATATTTAATGAAGTCCAGTAACAACGTCGTCAATAAATCGATGAATCGACGAGTTCTACTAAACTGAGACACTAAACACATTACCTTTTGTAGGTCGCCCTTCTTCTACGAGAAGGTTTAGCTCTTTACGGCTTGAGTCACCCAGCACTACTCCCTGTTCTGGGTGTCTCGATCGAGGACAGAAGCGCACCCTTCCTTCTATATCCGCATACCGGTTACAAAAACATGAAGAGGTTCTTATTAAGGTGCAAGCTGAGCAGCGAAGGACCACCGAGAGCCCTTACGACTCAGGAAGTCGTCGAAATGGCACTTCAAGCTGCCAAAGGGGTTCAGTATCTTCATAGGAAACGACTTGTCCATAAAGATCTCGCTGCGAGGAATTGTGTGTAAGTACAATAATCTATCTCTCATTACTATTAATATACTATTCTTATCAGTTTCCTACGTATAAACATAACAATTCGTCATATATAATAATTACATTGGCAGATCTGTCGTAAAAAAAAATGAAGAAAAAAAAAGTATTAAATTAATTTAAATACCACAGACAAAATATAAAACTATTGATTAGATACTTAAGATTAAGACTGCTTAAAATGTAGCACATGTAAGTCCCTTTATCGTGCACTTTCTCTTTCATGTTGAATATTTAAGAGAGATAACGGAAATCATCCTTTTTTACGAGCACACGCGTTGCTCGCATCGAGCACTTTAATAAAGCACTTCCCTCTAACGCAGCCTCTGCAAGCTCCGAGGCCGTTACGTCTCGTTACCGAATTAATTGAGTGCAACGAATTAATTAAGCACCGTACACGGTTACTTCGGTGGCTCTTTAATTAGCGATCACGTTGTTTTCGTCTTTGAAAAGTGATCTCAAAGTTCTTCTTCCCAACTTTTCTCAATTAACTACACAAAGCTTTATTTTTAAAGTGAAAACTTCTTTAGAATATATAGGCATAACGTTATTTTTATTATTATTAATTATTAACGTTATTATTATTATTATTAACGCAAGAGTTAAATGCTTTTTATTTTTATTATTATATTGTTATAATTGCTGTATTATAACATTATCTATCTTTTGTATGTTTCGTAGGGTCGACGATGATCTACGAGTTCAAATAACGGACAACGCTCTTGCTAGAGATCTCTTCCCTCAAGATTACCATTGTTTGGGAGATAACGAGAATCGACCAATCAAATGGTTAGCTATAGAGAGTCTACTTGGTAAAACGTTTACCACTGCATCGGACGTTGTAAGTATATAATATTCAAATATGCTATTATATAGCCATTTGATATACTATATTTGTTATATGTTTATTGTAGAAAAATGTAAAAGCAGCTTAATTGTTCTTACCTTTTTTTCTAGTGGGCATTCGGTGTTCTCCTGTGGGAATTAACGACACTGGCGCAACAACCCTACGTCGAAGTAGATCCATTCGAGATGGCCAGTTATCTTCGAGACGGTTACAGATTAGCTCAACCGATCAATTGTCCTGACGAGTTATTCGCAGTGATGGCCTATTGTTGGGCCATGTCTCCCGACGAGAGACCTACTTTCGGACAATTAATAGTTTGCTTGCAGGATTTCCATACGCAATTGACTAGATACGTTTAATGCTCGTACGAGTAATAGTGAAGAAATAACAATAATAAACTCGTTTAAATGTCGAACGAATTCGACTTGGGTAGGGGAAGAGGAAGACGTGTGTGTTCATGTATACATTTGTAAGCAGGGTGATCAATTTTAATCTAATCGTAAGAGCATAAGTATTTCAGTGAATAAGTACATAAAATGAAATGAAATGAAATGAAATGAAATGAAATATGTGAAACGAAATTATGAACATTCACTAGCATCTATTTCATTTGATACAATTCTTATTTACTTAAATACTTTCTACATGAATTTGTTGAAATTTTTGGATCATCCTGTATATATATATATATATATATACGTTCAATAGCTATCTCTCGCGTTCAAAGTACTTACTATTGCAAATTCGCACGTCGTTCACGTGTCGCTTATTTTACTCGAAAATCGAATAACTCGAATAGTCCATGCGTTAAGTATCGATCCTATCCAATTGTCAGCAAGCATTTCGTCTTTCCTCCGCATACCAAGCCACGATATATAGCCTACATATTAGAGAGAGAGAGAGAGAGAGAGAATGGGCATGTATCGGATATCGGATAATACTTACATAAATGATGATCGAAACGTCGTGATTAGGAATATTGGAAAGCGATCAATCTTCTTCTATTAGCGAGAAATCAAGAGAGTATTTCATCAAAATAAATTCGATAGTCTGCTTATAGCAAGGTGATTTGTCCATGTATGTATATAGTAGTGCGCGCATTGTGCATTTACGATCGATCAGCTTTCTATCAGCTCGAATAAGAAGGACAGGGTTTCGAATGTCGTCATCAAAAGGGAGGGTTATGTAGGAAAGAGAAAATGAATGCTTCCCTTGCCACGCTAGTCTTTCGACAGTGCCAATTCTTTTTGTATTTTTGTACATACGTACTACTTATATTAATTCTTCGTACGCACCTATTTCTGTATATGTATATTTAATATTCGCGATAAGCGTACGCTTCGAAATTCAACCAGAGGAAAATAAAAAAAGAGAATATATTCTATGTAAATATACGTATAATATACGTTTGCGTTTATTGAGTCGAGAGAGTCGAAACGATCGAAAATATTCTATGCTTTTTAGTAATATCATAGCCAAATGGCGAACAAGGAGAATAATATTACATCTTTTACATCGTCTCTCTTACGACTCGACGAATTTATTACTATAAGTATCCTTAAGAATCGCTATGAATGTACAAACTCTCTAGAAATGTTACAAATCAAGAAAAAAGGAATAAGTTTATAATGTAAAGAGGGGGGAAAAAAAAACACAAAAAAGAAAAAGCGATACGATAAAAAATGAATTTTTTTCTTTCTACACATTACTCCAAAAGTAAAATGTCGTAAAGATCATTTCTTCCTCTGATCCTCTTCTTCCTATTCTTGTTTCTTTTTCTTATTCGAAAAGTCGAATACCGACACCGTCAACCAACCTTAGCTATTTTCGTCTTCTTTCTTTCGAACGACAAGGGAGGAAAGAAGGAAATAAGGAAAGGGGAGGAGAAGTTTGGCGACGTTAAAAGTACGACGTTAAGTAACAGAAAGAAAAAGACTAAAAAGGCAGGCGAAGAAGGGTGTGTTTGAAGGAGTTTCCCTTTTCTCGGAAATCGTTCGTCAAAGGCAATGCAACTGAGTCCTGTAATTCATGCTGAAGCTGAAACTGGGTACGTCGTCGTTCGTTCGTTCGTTCGGCTGGCGACGCGTCGGGTGACTAAATTAATGGCGCATCGTTGACGTCTTGTTTAAAATGACAAATGGTGGTAGCGTAGGTTGTTCTCTTTCTATCTCTCTCTCTCTCTCTCTGACTACTTGTAACAAGATACATCGAGCGTGATACGATGCGTATAGAACGAACGACCCGTACAACGCGACGAATTCGTTTTGTTGGCCGAAATTGAGAGAGACAAAAGTATAATTAGCACGTTTATATTCGTCACTGATCATCGAGGAAAGTAAAAGAGTAAAGAAAAAATATCATTTGTGCAGATCACACATGTTAGAAGTGAAACCTTGAAAAAACCAAGCTTCGAGAGAATGAGACAATTGTCGAGTTTTTTGACTTACTTCAAGGATGTTAGTATGCCATAAAAGAAATAACAAAAGGGTACAAAAGTAAATGTATAATCTTTCTTGATTGTATATGAATATGTAGCATATTTACATCGTCAGTAAAGAGATTATCGTAGCTAGTGTGTAAGATTTCATAATAATGCATGTCCGATTAGGCACGGTACATTAGGCGCTTGCTTTTCTACGCTCCATCAAACGCACACCAATGGTTCTGGATGGGAGCGAGTTTAACAACCGAGCTAGGGGTTCTTGGGAAACCGGAAGCTGGTATGTACTCGTACGTGTGAAAAAGAATGTAACCCCTGACAGATAATGTTGGAACGTACGCATAAATGAGTGTAATCGCTCATCTCACCGAGTAGTCAGTTAAACGGCGTACTTTCTCATCGATCCTTGTTTACAACGTTAACGGTGTTAGATGTTTCTCGTCATTTTTGCTGCAGTCATATCTTTTAATTTTCGATTAATGCAAAATTGTAAACAAAAAACGAGTACAATTTATTACAAATTATATTTTTAAATTGATTTTTATTAATTTTGCGTATCTTACAAAAATATCTGAAAATGAAACATTTATTATATAAATGTAGATAAGGAAAAAAAATAGACAAAGCAGAGAGAGAAATAAAGCTATTTTCATTGAAGCACACTATCTCGTAACGTCAAAGGATCTCAGAGGATTTACGTAACACAAGACGAGAGAATAGTAACGATTCATTGTTGAGCACGTCACGAGCGTAATCACACGTATGCGCAAGCAAGTACGTGAATCCATGCTTTCCAAGTTTAAACGCATCCGTGATATAACCGGAAGGAAAGGGTTTCAAGTCTTTATTTCAACTCAAGTCAATTGTAATAATAGGATTTAAAATGAATTCTCGACATAATTGAATTTATTTAAAAAAGAAAATGTATAAAAATAAAAGTTTAAAGAGGAAAGATCGCTAGTCGGTTGACATTGAGGCAAAAGAAAGAATAAGAGAATGCGTTTATTTAGGAAGTCGCAAAAGGTTGCCTATTCTCGTAGGGCAACGAGGAACGGATTTAATGAATTTCAATGAGCTCGACGACCCTTCGTTGACGACAAACTTTGGGCAAACATCGAGGCCGCTTTGCAGGTCGACTAGAATTACTATCGGCCGAGTATGTGTAGTCACTGCAATCATGGGATTCTAGGGTGCATTCTGGAGTAGCTATTTCTCCTATGTATGTATGTATGTATGTATGGATGGATGGATGGATGGATGGATGGATGGATGGATGGATGGATGGATGTGTGTATGTATGTATGCTCTTAGGAAACGACGAGCTACGAGTGCGTTTTCGCGAGCACGCCTTTTGCCGTTCATTCACAACGATTCCTGGTGGTCTAACAAGGGCTCTCCGTCCTTACCCTTTGTTTTTCTACCGACGTGCATACTCCGCCGTAATTAACCGGTCGTAATTACGCGCGATAAAGTGCATCTTTCTTTCGCATGCCACTTTCTTCTTAGGAGCTTTTCGACGATCCTGTTCACGCCTATATAACTAACTAACTAACTTATATATTTAGATATTTTTCCGATTTTCTAAGATTATCATTTAAAAAGGCACATCCGTTACATATAGGTATGAACAAAATTCGGATTCTTTTTTATCTTGCATTAGATGTGTGGTGGGTGTTTGCGTGAAAGAAAGAGAGAAAGAATGATTGCTTTATTAAAATGCGTGCGTAGCGTGAGGACTGTTATGTGTGCGTGTGTATGTGTGGGAAAGAAAGAAAGAGATAAGGAATGGTTGCTTTGTCAGGATGCGTGCGTCTAGCGTGAGGATGACGGAACGAGAGGCGACCGTTCCTTGTTTCTCGTCGAGCTACTGTTGTGTGTGTGTGCTATGTGTAGCGTGTGTGGCGAAGAACAAGCGCAAGCTTGGTATGACGCATGATGGCCGAGGGTGGGAGTAGAAGCATCCGGTGTGTGTCATGTGTGTGCGTGTGGAGCGAAGAACAAGCGCAAGCTTGTTGTATGACG